GTAGTCCAAGAGTTGGCGGTGGGTGGTGATGACTAGCTGCCTTCCCTCTAGTCTTTCACTGCTAAATAAGGGAAGGGTAGTGCAGATAGCCCTCGTGTAGCTTTGCGCGAAATTCAGAACAAATAAACACATAGATTGGTTTGGTTTGTTTTAAATTAAGCACAAAGCTACACAATGGGCTATCTGTGCTCCGCCCACCACGAGTATCGAAACCCGGTTTCAAGCGTTGTAAGTCCTCAGACATTCCGCTGTGCCACTGGGGGGGGGGATAATATCAAACTGCATCAATTGTAACTACTCCACGTCCCTGATGAGCAATAGATTGTAACTACTCAACGTCCCTGATGAGCAATAGATTGTAGCTACTCCACGTCCCTGATGAGCATAGATTGTAACTACTCCACGTCTCTGATGAGCAATAGATTGTAACTACTCTACGTCCCTGAGGAATAGATTGTAACTACTCCACGTCTCTGATGAGCAATAGATTGTAGCTACTCCACGTCCCTGATGAGCAATAGATTGTAACTACTCAACGTCCTTGATGAGTACTCAACTGGCAGATTGACCAGAGTATTCTTTTGAAGATGAATATTGATTTTAAATCTCTCATAATTTAAATCAAATTGCTCGGATCGACGAGGGTGAAATACTACACAATATTGTAATAGTAGTATTTATTTAACACAATCAGTGAGGAACTGTGATGTACCAGAGAGGGCGTGAGAAAGTAAACAAAGATTCTATCCGGTAGGGTGTTATTTACAAGATACAGGTTTTATGCAAACACACACGAGATAAAAAAAATACAAAAAACTATCATATCTATTGGGGCTAGACAACTTAATCCTTTGTAATAAAGAAGTGCCGGAAAGCCTAATCTACTGCATAACCGTGTAAGATGTAATTCGTTTGCAGTAGTGGCAGTACGGCATTCCGGTTTTAAAAAAGGTGCGCCATGCCCATTCGTTCCCACTCCACTACACCTCTAATACTAGACTAACGTATCAGCCATTGATAAGAAAACTTAAGATTTTTATTAATTGAATTTGTTCAGTCACGTGGTTATGGGACTTTATGAAAAGATACAGACCCATGTGTTATGGTTACACAGGAAAGTAGGCCTAAGTAATACCTAAACTCACAGGCTGAAGAAAAGGAGCTAAGCCTATACTAGGTAAACATGTCAACGTCTTTAGAAAAATAATAAATGACGTGATTCGTAACCTAAAACATTCTGTAAACAATAAAACTCTCACCAACTACCCAAAACTGAAAATGTTATATTTTAGAGCACGTGAACTAATAACAAGGATATATAATTAAAAAGAATACAACATTAAAATAATTGCACGATATATATATAATTTATTAAAAAGAATGACCAGCTTTAAAGAGACTCTACGTATTTCTGTGTTGGTACTCCTGAAGATGGTGGCGTAAGAACACCGAAACATGTTGAGCCTTTTTGCATATATGCACAAGTGCCGTTTTAATTTATTTAATTACAAGTATAGACCGTCAGCCCCCCCCCCCACCCCACACACACACATCGGAAACTTCGTAGACTTCATTAAACTAAGGAAAAGTGATACTAGGAGTAGGAAAGCACGGACAACGTCACCATATATGCAAGGAAAGGGTGGATGTAACTCGCGGTCATTGAGACGCCCCGCACGGCCATCAGATTCGTTCAGAACTCTAAGTACCTAAACTCATACGTGAGTAGTCTAGACAGGTCACTTAACTGTTTTAATTACTTTAAATACATAGCACTGATTTACATCGTATAAATTTTGTGTATACAGATACGAAATACCAGAAGCAAAAACACAGGTTTACTTTAATAATAACAAAGGAATACAATAGCAGGTATCTTTATAAACCAAGGAAAGAAATAAAAAAGTCATATTTTGCGGCTTTATAAACATACCATTTTTCCCTCATTGATTTCATCAATATCCAATATGTCAAGCGAGACTAAGACTTCCACTGGTGTACCTGTAAAAAAAAAACAGACTATGGACTTCTTTTATTATTTCTTTACTGTTGACATAAAAACACATTTTATTCACTGATTCTTTAATAAATTATATAAATCGTCTTTTGGGTTTTCTGCCATTTACACAGTTTTTCTAGAGCGTTTCTGACAGTACGATATACGCAATGTGGCCATCGTTTGAGAGTTGAGACGTATTTTCTTATCTTAGCCACTTTTTACTGGTTGAATAAATGTATTTATGACAGTTTTAAACAATTATTTCATGTTTAGTACAGAATGAGGTCTATCAAAACATAAAGAGAATCCCGTATTACTTCCTGCATTTCGTGTGTTTATACATTGAACAAGTTGTTTTATTTATAGCTCCTACAAGGCCTAAGTTCAACATTAAATACACATTACTATGCTATTTATGATTTATACAAAGGCTAAATGTGAAATGAATATACTTATTTAAGGTTCGCCCAAAGTTTAGATGTGACACTTAGCTCATTTATTGTTTTATTTATAATGTGGCACAAAGTTTATACATAAGTTTACATACACTTATTGTCTTGTTTTAAAGGTTACTCAGCTGACGTACCTTTCCAGCGTACGGGAAAACATAGGAGGGTGAAATAAGGGGTCAGATCTGAATGACAACCCCTATGGTATTCCCCGAGAACGCTAATGTTACCTGTCAGGAGTGGTGATAATCGATTCAGCGGTTCGACAGTTATAAGTGGACACAACACACACACAAATGGTTTAGATGTGTAATACTAACTGCATTTATTGCCTTGTTTACAGGGAACACAATGTTTATATGTAAGATTCAACGAAATCATTTTCTTACTTATAATCCACACAAAATTAATATATAAGATTGAGCACACGTATAGTTTATTGTTTCATCTATAGTTTATAAAAATGTATGCAACACTGACTGTAAGTGTATTTTTTAATGTCGCATGTAAACATGTATGGACCATAGATCCTGTAACATTAAATACACTTACAGTTTTTATGTATGGTTTCTACAAAGTTTTTATGTAACATTAAATGCACTTACTATCATATATACGATTCGTGTAATGTTTAGATGTATGACTGCATTCACTTGTTACATCATTTCAAAGGTTATATACAATATTGGATACATGATTTTCTTACTTATAGCTCATACAAAACTTATATGTAACACCGAAAGCTCTTATAATTTTACTTGTGATTCATGTAATGTTCATGCATGTATATAACACTGGATGCACTTATTGTCTTACTTATGGCTCATAGAAAGTTATCTGCAAAATTAAATTCACACTATTGTCTTATTTATGATTAAAAGAAAAATTTGATATAAGGTTGCATAGACTCATTGTTTCATTTTAAAGTTTACACATAACAATGAATATACGTATTTGTTTATTTACGTTTGATACAAAGTTTATATATATATAACTTAGGATTCTTGCAGTCTTTATATGCAACAATGAATCCGCGTTACGATATTGTTTTATAGATCACACAAACTTATGTGTAACAATGAATCCACGTTATGATATTGTTTTATAGATCACACAAAGCTTATGTGTAACAATGAATCCACGTTATGATATTGTTTTATAGATCACACAAAGCTTAGGTGTAGCAATGAATCCACGTTATGATATTGTTTTATAGATCACACAAAGCTTGTGTGTAACAATGAATGCACGTACAACAGTGTTGCCTTATAACAAAAATATATTTTATATTGATCATATTTAGTCTTTTAGTTATTGTTTCTAAATGATCTTACTTATTACAGGATTTACTATCTCTGTAAACAATCTTTTTTACAGTTTTGCAAAAACAAACATGCTTTATATGTATATTTTATTCCTCAGAACATTTAAATCTTTTCAATCCATACCAAAAGTTTGCTTAGCGTGATATAAGCAGTTACATTTTCCATAAATCCTTATATTGCAGGCCTAAACAAGTTACCAAAGAAACAGAAAAATCATTAAAAAAATCTTACCGTCGAAAGAGGGAGCTTTCAAGTTATTACATTCTCTGGTTCCATAAACGTCTCGAGGCCTAAAAAAATTGTCATTAAAATCTTTATAACCAGGTTTGGTTGCAGATTTCAACCCAAAATTAAATATAATTTTGGCAAAAAAATTTTCTTAAGTTAATACTGTTTTATATTTTAATAAATTTAAAAGTAGTTACATACTTGTTCTTCAAATAATATACTAACATATTTCACAACTTTTTAGTTTCATAGTTGAAACAAAAATATTTTGTTAAAAACAACGAATACAGTTTTGAACGCAAGACGATCATATCCTCTGTCATCGTTGTCTTTTTTTTTACTTCTCAATAATATGACTTTAGTTTAGCTTCTACAGTGATACTTTGACGTTTTCAGTAAAATAAAGATTCTGTGAATTTACGATTTCATAAATGAAAAATAACTGAATCTTACATAACCTTCTTTTGTCGTAAATCAGTTAGTACAACTTATCACTTCGTGAACCACGTTGTTGGTTGAATATCGTGTTTATTTAATACTTTCTCAGTTGATGTCTTTCATTATGTTGTAATGGATTGTGTGGTAATTACAGTACAATATTCCCAGAATCTGTACAAATACTACTTCATGTTATCAAAGGAATGTGTGGTAATTACAGGTACAATATTCCCAGA